ACCATTGCTCATTGCTACTCTCTGAAAACCTTCAGCTTGTTCCTATATATCTGGGATTATGAACAGGGCTTCTAGTTCAACTAGCACAGGCTTGGATTGAGGAACGAAAACCCAACCACTATGTACTATAGCCATATATATGTTTGTTCAAATTATCATGCAATCATTTGGACATGTTATATAATCCGGCTTCTCTCCAAATGGTACTTTATTTGGTTAGATTCAAAATATTGCACAGGAACTGCAGAACAGCTGTATTATGTTAATCCTTGCTATCTCGGTTGTAAAGAATGAATCTGTTAAATCAAAGTAATATTTGAAAAGTTCTGAAACCATTTTTGGAAGTGTGTGTGCATGTTTTGTGGTGTTTTCCTAACGAATGCTAATCTTGTTACATGGTATAATGTCATTATAGAGGAAAAGAGACTGGGAGTGGACAGACAGATAGAGAAAATAACATTGAGTTAACCAATTTGACATCACGGTTTGTGCTGTCCATTCCCTGACAACCAAACAAAGGAAAATGAAAGCTGATATGGCTGTTCTGGTAATGTCAAAAGTTGGCATTCTTTAGTGCTCTTTAACATGAAAGGAATACTTGTTAGAATAATGATGAAGGCATGGTGGGAATGATGTTTTTAATCTGCCTGACATTTAAATCAATGATCCGTAGAGACACAGACACAGACACAAATCATATAAGTGTTTTCAAATATGCAGCACCAAATGGGCCAGTCTATAATTTTATTCACTCCTGACAGTCAGGTACAACCTTCTACATGCACCCAACTCAAAGCTGAAACTTCTCTCTCAGCTGCTACAACACTGACCCCACTGAAAGGGCAGAGCTGAAGATGTTGTACAAATAAAACTATGAAATTGGTAGCCTCTCTCGGAGTGTGAGCTGACATAATGGGCCAATTTTCTTTCCCTTGGGAGCAACCACTCAGTTTGCTAGCAGGACAAGTGACCTGTAGGAGAGGAATCCAAGGCTAGATATTCCGCTTTGCTATAAATGCCAGCTCAGGTCGTAACTTCCTACTGCAAGTCATCCTGTTAATGACCACATTTTTCAATTTGAAAGGGACGGAGCACTAAATGAAGTGATGTACAGCATGTTGACAAGCATAATCTATCCTGCATGCCGCTTACTGTGATGCATGGATTGGCTTTGTGTGTTTTGAAGAACTGTGTACAAGATGGGATATATGCCTCAAAGAGCTATGTAAGAATGGCTATTGAACCATTCATGTTATTTCAAAATGCACCACGGTCTAATTCTGTTGTCCCCCTGCCACAACCTGCTCTTGGTAAAGGGAAGAGAACCAAACACATTAAATACAACCACACATTACATCACTACATCACAAATTATATTTTGTTGACGAATTTCCCTCTCCTCATGTGCTTTAGCTAGTTCCAGGTGGCACGTACATTCTCAGCTTCTGAAGAGAAACACAGCTCCCCTAGTGTATGCCTTTCATGTGTTTGGAATACATGCAAGAAGAGTTCTTAAGATGTCACTATTGGGTAATACAGAAGAATTGTGCTGCTCTTGCAAATGGCTTGAGACTAGGAATAACTCACCTTCAGTTCAGCACAGAGCACATGCTTTGAATTCCAAACGGACCAGGTTCAGTCCATGGCATCTCCAGGCAGGGGTAGAAAAGACCTTGTCTGGGACTGTAGGGAGCCACTGTAAGTCAATATGGACTGGGAGTCACCAGTGTAGTGCCCACAGGTGCTGGTGTGCCAGCCGGTACCTGCTATGGCACCTGTGAGAGGTCTCAGTAAATATTCCCTCAAATATCTGCAGTACACGAGAAACTGTTAGCACTTCTACTCAGTTCCTGTTTGCACTGGGTCGCCATCTCCTGCATTGAAGCCATGCCCCACGGCAGCCATTTTGTGTTACGCCACACTCCCACAGCAGCCATGATCTGTTATGCTCACCCCACAGCAGCCATTTTCTGTCCTTCCATGCCCCTTCAGCAGTCATTTTGCGATGGGCACTCTCTCAAAATTCCAAATGGATCCACAGACTCAATAAGGTTGGCAAGCTCTGATGTAGACAGTGCTTAGCTAGGCAGCCCAATATTCTTACCCAGTATTACAATGGATCCCTACATTCCTATGCATCATTTACCTCATGATCATGGAGCCAGCTGTACATGTTGCTCTGTGCACCACAACAGATTAATAACAGATTAATAGGGTGCTGGGCTATGGCCTGTTCCTTTCACGGTAAAATAGTATTTGATAAAATCCAAATCACCTTAATTCTGTACTTGATGGGTGATTATTTTCCTTCCCCAAAACATTTGTTCATCCTGATACAGCTTTTTAAAGCACAGAACTGTCTTATTTCTTCTTTTAATAGACTCCGATATATTGCATGTACTCTGAGTTGGTTGGTGAAGTAAAGAGCTACAAAGGCACTTGGCCAAGAAAACTGTCTGTCTCCTTCCTGTGCCAAAGATATTAGTCTCCTATTTACTGTGCTTTTATCTATGTTTATCCTGTGAACAAAATGAATTTAAATAACTCTATTTGTTAGTACTTAGACTTCCTTAATTCTGTTTCATCCTATATAGCTTCCTAGAGAGGCCCATTTTCTTTTCAACAGGAGTGTCATAAATAATTGCAGATGGACAAAAATGCAACACTTGAAGTAATGTGGGCAATGCCTAATACACTGGAGTGGGGAAAGGCATGGTATTTCCCAGCATGAGCAGTTATAAATTAAAATGAATATTTGTTTTCAGAAATCACTGACAACATTTTCTCACCACTTTGCACGGCTGCACTCTACACTGTTTTTGGCAAACCAACCAAATGGTCAGTTTAAAGCAGACAGATTTATCTGCCATGAGGGTTTAGGGAGACTGGTCAACAAAACAGATATCAAATGCTCCCTAAATATGAACTATTGCAGCTAGGGGTGAAAGGATCTGACAATTTCCGGCCCCTCAGATTTTTATTTTCCCCATCTTAAGTTCTCTACATTTCTGCAGCCATTTGCAGTGGTTGTTTTTTTAAAACCAACCAAATCCTCGTGAAAATTTGCCTAAGAAACACATTTTTGTATGCAGTTTTGATAAATGATTTTGCAAGTAGATTGCCCTAATATTGTGTATTTTCTCTATGTCATTTTCAGTAATATATTAATTTTATTCACACCTTCCCCTATTATATGAATCTTTGGAAACATGGTTTACAAATAAGTACAAATAATCTGGTTCAGATAAGTGCAAGTTTTGAAGGCTGTCTGTGTGTTCAGTTCTCACATTGTTTTGGAAAGTTGATAAATTTTCCTTAAAATGCAAAATTCCTAATTGCAACATTAGGCTATGTTCAGTTTGTAGAGCTGTGACTCCAAACTGTTCTGCTTAAAGCTGTCCCTCCTTCAGGCATGAGAATGTCTTTAAAAAGGAAATAGGTTCACGTAGTGCTCTAGGTTAGTTACCTTTCATTTCCAGAATGAAGCTCCCCTGCTATAGAACTCTTATGAAAATGAGACAATATATGAACCTTTGAGGAAAAGATGCTGAGTTTTAAAAGGAATATGCCTCTGGCAAATTAATGTCAAAATCTTGAAACAGGAATAAACACAAACCTATATGATATCTTCATCCAATGCAATTTATCATTGCCAGTCATTTGTTTTGCCTAGAGTGATAGTTTATTCTTTAAATCATATTTATAGACCACTTAATTTAAAAAATCTAAGCAGTTTAGATAAAATAGTGTAACAAAAAATTGTTTAACAAAATGTAACAATCACTTAATAAAAAAAAGCTAAGTGGTTTACATGAAATAGTATGAAATATTTAAGTCAACAACCTTTAAAAACAATTATCAAAATATAGATCCCATCAACAGAATTTAAAAGCAACTATGCATAATAAAAATACATGTTTTAAAATTCTTACTTGTATTTCTTGTTTATTTGTGGTATGCTGTGCCTACCTACTAAAATTCATCATAGGTTTGTTCATTTTTAAATACACCAACTATTTAGCTGTGCTAGGAAAAAAAAAGTCAGAATTTGGTGAGTGTGAGCTATAGGAAAGCCAGGGTAGGGAAAATAAACCATCTTTGCTGTCTGTCCCTGAGTGATGCATTTATTTCTAAGGCAGCTATGTTTTTCTGATAAAAGTTTATTTTATTATAGTTGGTGAGAAAGTCGGACAGCACCATACCAGTTCATATGGAGTACTGTGTTTTTTGCTCTATAAGATTCACTTTTTCCCTCCTAAAAAGTAAGGGGAAATGAGTGTGCATCTTATGGAGCGAATGCAGGATGCACAGCTATCACAGAAGCCAGAACAGCAAAAGGGATTGCTGCTTTCACTGCGCAGCAATCCCTCTTGCTGTTCTGGCTTCTGAGATTCAGAATATTTTTTTCTTGTTTTCCTCCTCCAAAAACTAGGTGCGTCTTGTGGTCTGGTGCGTTTTATAGAGCGAAAAATACGGTAATTGCACAATGCAGGCCTCAACTGAGTGCTGGATCACACAGCTAGTGGGGCAGTATGGAAAATGTCTTTTTCTTATGCCATTCCAAGCTAAAAAATACAAATAAAAGGGAACTTCAGTAGGTGTCATTTGAGTATATTGTAAGTGACACCTGCTGAAATTCCCTTTCTACACATGTATTAAAGGTGCAGGTGCCCTGCTCTCTGTGTTGGATCTGGCCACTCTATGTCCAGTTCATAGAATCACAGAATTGTAGAGTGGGAAGGAGCCCTGAGGTCTAGTCTAGTCTAACCCCCTGCAGTGCAGTTGTCCAATACAGTGGTACCTAGAGTTAAGAACTTAATTCGTTCTGGAGGTCCGTTCCTAACCTGAAACTGTTCTTAACCTGAGGTACCACTTTAGCTAATGGGGCCTCCCGCTGCGGCCGCCGTGCAATTTCTGTTCTCATCCTGAAGCAAAGTTCTTAACCCGAGGTAGTATTTCTGGGTTAGCGGAGTCTGTAACCTGAAGTGTCTGTAACCCGAGGTACCACTGTATGGGGATTGAACCTGCAACCTTGGTGTTATTAGCACCACACTCTTAACCAACTGAGCTATCCAGTACATATATATGACCCTTAAGACTTGCTCTGTCAAATATATAAAACGATTGGAAGGGCGTATACCTATCAACATCTATGCCAGAACAATGTCACACATATCTTAGTGTTACAGCCAAGTTACACTGGAATTGTAACAGTGTGTTAAGGCATGGGAATGTGGAATATTAAATAATTGGGGGTGGGGGTAGATAGGCAACAGAAGCCTAATGGAAGGAGAATGTAAAGATTCTCTCTCTTTCTATTTCTCTCTCTCTCTCTCTCTCTCTCTCTCTCACACACACACACACACACACAACCGACTGTTACTTTTAAAAAATCAGGTGTAGTGGAATCAAGCGTCACTGTAATTGCTCTTCTCCAGAGTCAGCGGAAGAGAGAGTCGACTTCTTAAGCTCCATGGAATATGGATCAGTCCTTGTTAGCTTTGCATTTTGCATGAGGGCAGTGTAAGAGAAAATGTGGGTGTGTAAATTCTCCAAATGATACAGAATGCGATCACCTCTGTTTCCCCCCCAAAGCTCCCTGGCATCTCCTTCCGAGCATTAGGATAAATCAGTAGGTGCCACAACTTTTCCGGTAAAATGTTCAAATGCTTCAGGTCTACCCAAGGCCAGAGTTTAGAAGTCATTAGGATTTAGAAGTAATGCATGGATGCAACTTAATTGCACTTTGATTATTATTATTTTTTTTAAAAAAGTCCAGTAAGTAGTAATAACATACATGGCATTTCTCATTAAACATGGTTAAAATATAAAAATAATTTCTCATGAACAGAAGAATCTACATTTGGGATGTCAGGCTAAGCAGACATTCTTTTACAAGTAATTTTGACATGGAGTTTTATTATATATAATTGTTTTAAACCTGCTAATTTTATTTCTACTTAAATAATTTTATGTGAACTTGTTTTTAACATTTATCTGTATCTTAATGAATATTTTGTATTGCTTTATGTAAACTGTTTAGAGGGTTTTATCGATTAAGTGCTATAAAAGATTGTGTTTTACAGTGCTTTTTTTGAAAAAAGGTGGTGGTATTCACCATGAAGTTGCTACAGTAAGTGCCACACTTTTAACCTTTTTTTTTTTTAATGCAAGTGCTGCTTGCGTACCCCCAGGAAAAAAAGCCCTGCTGTTTTTTATGGTTTTGTGCTAGTACTGCTTTCGTATTGACTCTTTTAGCGGTTTGTTGCTTGTATTTGAATTTGAATTTGTGACCTGCCTAGAGGATGTGATTAATTGTGTGGCATATAAATGCCAAAAATAAATAAATAACATCTTCCCCAAGACGCAGAATGAAAGTGAGGATAACACCCGCACACACACAAACACACACTGAATACAATTTTGCTTGAGTGTGATCGGAAGCTGACAGCTCCTTACTTGTTGCGAGAAGTTGAAATCTTACCCATTTTCCACCAAGCCACTGGTGTAAAACTTTGTATTAAAACATGGGAAGCAGCTAACCCAACCTTTAGGCCAAATATCTGTGCAAGATATCCAACACACTTTGCTTCTTTAGAATCATGGGCGAAAATTAATGGCGGGCAAAGAACTAATGTGTACCAGAAAATGATTCATCCTCTCATCCTTAATAATGAAATAATAATAAAAAAGGGTAGTCAGTGCTGTGGAGTTGTTCCAGCAAGCAGGTCTCCAGGAACTCGGGTTCCCTACAGAATTCCCCTTGATCTTAAAGCTTAACTTGAAACATTTATATGCACAGAGCACCTGACCAAAAGATGTGGTGGAAAGATACTTTTATCACATTGGCTGTATATCTTTCTTAAATAATACATCCCTGCTTTCTTCCCTACTGAGAAAATTGATTCTATTCTCTATAATTTGTGTGTGTGTGTGTGCACTTTTATAAAAGTTTTTAAACAGCAAGACAGTTTTGGCTATCTTCTCCCACTGTGCTCTAATTCCTGGAAAGATGCTCAATCAGAACATGATAACTTTAGCCAGGGCAAAACCTTTAAAAGAAAGAAAGAAAAAGTATTACGGCTAGGCAAATGGCGATTTGTTCTTAAGATCATTTTGCCATCTTGACTGCATATAAACAGAAGCTGCTGCATGTATACTGAACTAAGGGGAATCCAAATTGTTCAAGGAATCCCAATACTGTGCTAAGAAAACCCAAATTCTATGGGCTGGCTAATTTATGCTGATTCAAAATGTTTCTTTGCGTTTACTTCTTTTGATAATTTTGTGTCCAATGAACATTTCCTGGCACCTCAGGTAAGTCAAATTAGATGGATGTCCAGCTATATCACTGGGACTAGACACATCACATCATCCCTCAAGAATGTTCCCCATCGCTCGGGAATAAGGCATATCTGGGTATTATATTAACTGTGTTAAAATCAACTAGTGTAGTAAGCAGGGGTGGAGTGGGTGTCTGCAACTAGAGTCCAGCTCATAGTCCCTCTGATTGGTGATGCTGTAAAGATGGTTTCTAAGTGCAGCTGAAGTCTCCGCATGACCAGGAACCATGAGTTGTCAGGCTTCTTTCTTATTACATGGAGACATTCATCTGAATGCATTTAGAAGCTCTCTTCAGACCTTTGTACTGCTCATGAGAAGGTTAGAAGTGAAGCCAGTGGGAACAGGGACACTGGGAGTGGGTGAGGCAGTATACATGCCCTCATCCCAGGGCATTGATTTTAACACAAATGATGCAACATCTGAATAGAGCTCTTCTAGGAATCTTCTGGGGAAGAGATCAAGCTAGGGTAATAGGTTATGACTCTGCTACCTTGCAATTTCCCTGGAGTTGATTGTATCCAAGACCAACAAGGCATTTAGATGCAGTGAGTAAAGCCCATCAGAATCTATGTTGACCACTTTAATTAATCAGAAGTTAGGTTTGTCGACAAACACAAGGAACTGCATTCAAGGAAACAGAGGTTGTTGTTTTTTAATTATAATGTTACTTTAATTACATAATTACAGTTATGAAAATACATACATAAACCTTACTATTAAATCATCCTATATTTAAACCCAAATATGTATAGCATAGAAAATATGCAATAGTTGAAAATTTCAACTGTAGCAATGAGTCAGACTTATATCAATGAAAATAATACACACAGTTTAAAATTACATTCATATTTCAGATTCCAGTGATTTATGAACAAGCCTATCTGCTGTACATTGTCTTTTAAATCTCTTACAATATGTAAGATTTATTTACAATGTCACAATCCAAACTTGCTCATATCAGGATGATTTTTCAACTATAGAAAAGCTTCTAATATTTGCCTGAGTTGGTAAAGAAGTACAAAGATAACTCAGATCTTACACAGTACTGGAAGATCAATAATACCAGACAATTGATTTGTGTTTTGAAATGAAAATTCTCTACCCTCCAGAAGATGCAGAATAAAAGCCCAATTGAACCCAGCTGAAGAGCCTTAACATAATAGTTAATTGCACATTTATAGCCCACTTGTAAAATTTATGCAATGGTGTGACTGCTTCAGGTCACAAGGTGGGGTGAAATAAAGATTAACCAATCGTAGCAGGACACACTTTCCCCCCTTAAAATGGAAGACAGATTAGGGTTTGGGTGAAAGAAAGGTTAACCAATCATAGCAAAAGGTATTGTTGATCCTTAAGATGGAAGCAGGGTTGGAAGAAACAAAGGTAACACAGAGCGCTACAAATTATATATAATTTCTACACTTTAACTTCTTGCATTCCTGACCCTCCATGATATGGTCACAGGCAGGGAAAAGCTCCTCATCTGCAGAATGCCAATGGAGAAGGCTAAGATTCTCTAGAAACCTGGGAGTCTGTGTGGGGTTTAAAAACAAACCTGTTGTTTATTTTGAAAAGCACTCATCCACTCTTAACAGGATTAACAATTAATTTTTACATAGCATTTTACAAAAAATAATAATTACTGCATCAAAATGTTCATACTATAAATGCTGGAAACTATTATGGATTCTCGTTCCTTTCAGCTGGGATCTGCATTCATTTGCTGTCTCTAATGCCTTTACTCTTGACCTTTTTCACTGCAGAGCAAAGAGCAAATTGCAAAATGAGGACATGGGGAGAGAGACAAACTGTGTTCCATTAAAGAGAGAAAGTGGGGGGAAAGGTTAACACTGGTTTGCTAAAAAAAGATCTAAAGCCTTGACTCTGAAAAATAGGTTCAGATCTGAGAGTGGAATCCATTTCTCTCTTCCTTGGACAAACTCTAGTGTCATTCCTTCAAAGTAGCCCAAAGATGGTACCCAACTCCACACCCTAAGTGGAACTGCTCAAAGTAACAGTTGCTGGAGAGGGTATGGAGAGTTAGGCATGTTTATTTTTCCATATGTGGTGGACATGTCCAGTGATCAAAGAATATTTGGGGAAATATATTTCGTGAAATCCAGCCGATCCTTGGACAGAATTTAATGCCTGACCAACTCATGGCATTGCTCTCTAAATTTGTTGACGAGGGTAAGATTGTTGTTGGTTTTTTTTTAAGAAAGACATGTTAAGCTCTTTCTTTGCAGCAACATGCATTGCGGTGGCTCATAATTGGAAGCAGACTAATGGAAACTTGACTGAGCTATGCCCAAGTTTGGCATGGATGGAAAAATTGACAAAGTTAAAATCCAACAAAGATACATTCTGCGCAGAATGGTTGTGACCTCCAGGTATATATGATGGGAGCCCTCCCTTAGCTCATGCTTCTACCATATTGTCCTTTTCTTGTCTGATTACATAACATGCCCTTAATACAGCTATTTTTTGTTTATTCACCATAGCATACTGAAACATTTTTACTGGAAAAAACCTCCTTCTTCCATTTTCTTAAATGAAATGATTTTCTTGGTTTCATTTTTACAAGTATATGTAAGCTCCATTTTCCTTTATTTTTATACCTTATATATATATGCTTTATCTTGTCTTGATGTATTTATTTAATTTTGATGGCATGTTGCTGTATATGTCATTTCTTTCTGTACTGAAAATTCCAGTAAAAAAATATATTTTTAAAAAATATTAAAAGCATGGCTTAGAAACCTGTTTAACATGGCAAGGAAAACAAAATGTTTCAGCTTTATTTCATTTTTGTATATGAAATATTAATATTGAGTTAATAGTTCCAAGCATCCCTTTCCAGAAAGGATCTATTAGAATTGTTAAAAAGTGCAGTGATGGGTAACAAAACTGGAAAAACTATTGTCAGAGCACTGAGGGCAACTGTTTCTATGGATTAAAGTGGCCATGTAGCCGCCATTGACAATCTACTGAGGTCAGATCAACAGGTACTGTTTGTTGTTTCTTCCATGTGTCAGTTTAGATTGTGGCTGCTATTACCAGGGCTTCACTGCACAGCTTCCTTAGTAGGAATAGCCCTAACATTAGGCAGAGTGGGGCGTCTGCCTCAGGCGGCAGCTGATACAAAACAGCAGCAGTCCAGCCACCATTCTACCTGAGTTATCAAAAAAAGATTCTACAGCCAGTTTGGTCAGATTCTGTACAAGGAGAGAGAGAGAGAGAGAGAATAATCTTTTCCTTTGCTTCAGGCAGAAAAAAATGTACGGTATTCTTCCTTAAGTTCCAAAATGTCCTGTCAGAGGAGGTTGAGAAGTCAACATCTCTGGATTTCAAAAAGGATGTAAACATGTTTATTTTGTCAAAAATTAGTGCTGTGATTTGTTGTTAACTGCTGCAACCTGTTAGGAAAAAAGGTGTGGTGTTTAATTCATTTATACAACAAAAATACCTCAGATTGCTGTTAACAGGTCAGAATTGAAATGAACTTGCTCCTAAAGATGCTTCTCAAAAATCTCTTTTGCCATTATTTAAAATAAAAATACTATCCACAAGTCCACTGGGTGCTCAAATCTTCTCTGAATATTAAATGTCACTATTTTAGGCATCCAATGGTTTTTTAATTTCAATGTATGATATATGGCAGCTGATATTTTCTCCATACCTGGGAGTTGATCTATAACAGCGTAACATTTTGTATTCGTCAATCTTGACAGCAGACATGCAATGGTGTACCACAGTGATTTTCAAACTTCTCCATTTCAGGAAAATGTTCCACACTGAGGTTTGTCAAAATCAAAATAGTCAAGAAATGCCAACGAGTCCAAAGCAATAGAATGTCTAATCCTGAGCTGAAAGCATCACATTCAAAATCCGTATTTGGGACTGAAATTTCTAATTCAAAATTGTGAATAGCAAAGTGGGGAAATGGATGAATTTCAAGTATTTGTGGATTCTTGTGTCAGTTCCACGTGAAATGATTACTAGGATAAGACCATCCTATAGTCATCTGAATTCTAGTAAGTAGATTTCCCAGTGTCCGGGTTACTTAAAAGGCTCCTCAGATGTGTTGGAACCTTCTGTGGGATCCAAAGCCTCTTCCTCAGATGCCATCATGGTCTCTGTTAGACTGACTCCTGACACCCACAGTGATGCCCAGTAAAGAAATCTGAACATGTTCCACATTTTAAAAGCCAGAGTTATTGCTGGCACTGTGACAGGCCAGCAGGAGCAGGCTGAAAATACCTCACCAAGTTTCAATTAAGAATGATTTCCCATATCATAATTTTTATCATTGCTTTAATTTTGTACTGATTGGTTCCACTTGTTTTGTAGGGTTTGTGATGCATGAAGAATAATAAGTTTTCAGGTTTCGTTATGGGTTTCAGCCACTCTTATTGACAATTTAATCCGAAGAAGACAACATTACAGGAAATATTACTAGCCTGTTACCTATGTGCATGAAGTCATGTACAATATTTTTCTCAATTGCTTCACTGTTACATTAAATATAATCTAATATACTATTCTGTATTTCTCCACAGTTATTTACAAATACACATTTCGGAATATAGTAACGATACTCACCGTAGTCAGGAAACCATCAATAATCTTTGTTCTTCTACCATATTAAGATCTTCTGAAACTTGTACAAAATTACTTAGCAAAGACCAATAGTGACACCCAGTGACCATTAGGAGCACATCTACAAACTGCAAGCAAATGTTGTGCATTGTATTATAACTTGAAACAAAATAATTGCAGTGCTCAAGTGCAGAAAAAAGGCATCCTGTGAAAAGAGAAGGACACCCACAGTTTTGTTGCATTTGGCATAATATTTTTAAATAATCCCCAAGATACGCAGGATGGGTGCCTAAATGCTGGAAAGCAACAAAGTCACAATGAGGTTAAGAATCTTGAAATCAAAGAAATCTCCATGGGATCATGGCTTACAAGCCTTTTTAGACCAAGGAGCCCACAGGTTAGGGATATTGGTAAAACATGAGAAGGAAGACAATTTTACAGATGTGATGAGAGGCAAATACTTAGGGTTGCATACCAGCTGAGGACAGAAGTAGCTGAAAGATCATTGTGTTCCTTTAAAAAAGTTTTGCCTTTTTTCCTATGTTTAATTTGCTCTTCCAGTTTCCAGAGCCAGAGGTGGTATAGTCACACAAGGGTGTGGGAGACTATACATGAGAATAACCTTATTAATGTTTTATATTTTGTTCATTTGTACATGACTGAGAACCATAATAAACAGTTCATAACAAAACAACATCTATGACCTTGCTTGCGCTAATAGGACTTTAATGTTGTACTTGTTCTTTTTAAGGAGATGCAAACCATCTTGACTTATTCTGTGTTCAGTGTATCTTTGGACCAAACTATACATTGCATTAATGATGCGGTTTACCCTTTAAAGCAAAGAGGAGCTGTTGTCCCCAAGGCAAGTATGCAGATGTGGGGGCCCTGATCCAGATCAGGACCACAACATGGAGCAAGAGGTTAAAGCCCACAGCTTCCAAGCCGGGGTCCCAACCTATTTGTAAAAAGAAAATAATGCACTTACGTGATTAACAGAATGTGTGGTTTGGCCCTGTGCTGTTGGAAGCTGTTCTGGGGATGTTACCTATGAATGGAATCTCTCCTTAGGAGGACCAATGTTTCTATTGCACAGAGTGAGGCAGAGCTACATAGCAGATCTCAAACTAATGCATGACTTTTTGTGTGTGACAGAACTCACAGGTACGAAGTACCATCCCCTCTTTCCCTGCTTCTTATGGCAGTCATTTTGCACTAGCACCTATGACACTTTCTGCATATAGGAGTTCCAGCATCTCGTTTTTTGTACCAATCCCCCCAACCACATGCACACACACAACAAAAACAGATAGGCAGACTTTAGCAAAGTTTCACAATATGTACGTGGAATCTATGCTATCACAAAACAAATTCCAATAAGCTAACAAGCTTTTACCTGTATTCTAGGAAACTGAAGGTGATTCTGCGTTCTCGTTGGCACTGCATTAACCAGCTGTTCATCCAATGCAATTATTTTGCAAGTGTTCAACATCAATTACATTCTCTGTTTTGCACACGGCTTCCCCATTTTATTTTAAAAACAAAAGTGTTAATGGGGGGGGCATGGGGTGTGTATAACAGAGAAAGTAGAAATGCTTCTGGCATGAGTCAAGGTTTTAGCCTGCAGGCAAAACATGAAATAGCTGTTAAAAGTGAGGGGACCAAAAGGAAAAAGAGAGATAGCAAAAACAACCATCCCAGGAACCTCTGCTAATGACCACCATTTGTCCTCCTGTGACAAGTTCTGTAACTAATAGCACATGACAAAGTGTGTGTTATGGGCTTTAAAACCGGAAATTGAGGGACATCCTTGTTGGAAGACTAAGTGATTTTAGTATATGAGTGAATTCACGATGAAATCATACAAGGGTCTAAATCAGAGATGGGGAACCTGTTTCATCACACGCAGCTCCCTAGAATACCAGGGGCATCGCGGGCCCCACAGCAGCAGGGACTGCGCTCAGGAGCCCTCCTCACCTGACCATTCCACAGCTAGGCAAGAGGATCACTGAAAGGATCACCTGCTAACGTGCTATTGATGTCCAGCACTTGGACTAAAATGAAATTATATTTGTCTCTGTGTCTTTTAAAATTACTTCTAAAACAGAGCTAGCTGTTTTCTCACTGCCTGAAATTTGGAGTGTGTGTGTGTGTGTGTGTGTGTGTGTGTGTGATTCCTTGACAGGATGTAGTAGAATGCCTGAAAAGGCCAATTCCCAGGAAAACAGTGAGTCACAGAAGCAGAAAAGCAACTGAGTTTTTCATTGGAAATGGTGGAAGACAACAGATTGGAACAGCAAAACAAATGAAAAGCTAACACATGAAGCAAAATGAACCTGATTTTTAAGAACTAAAATATGAAGCACTGAGGCTTTCAGTCTTAAAACGAATGGAAGAAACAAGTGTACTTTTTCCGGCATATGTATATTGTCAATTTTCTATTGCCTCTGGAGACCAAAACCTAACTTGTTTACTCACATACATTCTTAGATCTATAGGTTGTGTCTATAATTGTGTCTAGCATCTCAGGTTTTTTTATTATCAGCGTGATCATCCCAAATCCTTTTGTGCTCCAGCGCATGCATAGGAAATGCCAGGACGGGGGGGGGGGGGGACTGAGAAATTTTGGGAGTTTTACTTTTGGGGAGTTAGTCTCACAAACTACAAATCCCACTGTTCTCTTGCTCTCCCTCCCCCCGTCTTATAGAGGGGTGTCACAAAGTTGTGGTTTACTGTTCAGAGTGCTTCCTGGTTTTGCCATAACATTACTTTTGTTTAGCTCAAAGAAATTTCACAAGATCCTATTACAATCCAATGAAAAATATTCAGTATAGTACTGTGAAGAACGTATAGTTCTGTGAAGAGTGGCAGGAGCAGTGGCTGTGAATGGCTGGAGTAGCACATTAAATATTCATCTTGATTATTAATTTTACATTGTAATTTTTATTATTATAATTTATATATAAATTCAAGTTGTAAGCCAATAGAATACAACGCAAGAAAGAAAAGAAGCAAGAAAAATACAACAGAAACCCATGCAGCATCTAGCACTAAGTGGTCCATCATGAACATCAGGAATTTTTCAATGGTCCATAGGGAAAGGAAGTTTGGGAAATTGCTGGTCTAATATACAGGCAGTGACCGAATTGTGTGGAGTGGGAGGGTTATGTTCTGGAGGTTCTCCATGCAATCAAAGGGGCAGGAGGGCAGAGCTAATGCAGTTCCCATTCCTGAAATCACATAGCTCTGCCCTGGCCCACCCTGACATCCAGGTCTGTTAACCAAAAACCTACATGTAGGCTCCTCTCAGAGTAGGAACGCTCACATATAATACATAAAGGCAGCTACTCACTTCACGCTATAGTTCATTTTGGAATTCGCTTCCTATTGCATCCTCTTTATCAAGAGCATTTTAAGCTGATTGAGTGAAAGTGTCTCCCTTTTTAAAATGATTTGTTTACTACCATTTGCCAGGCAAGAGTTTCCCACAATCTCTCACTTTCTCTTCATGCAATTTCGCCATCATTCCAGATATAATATAAGGGGTTGACAAAAACAAACAGCCATACAAAAACTAGGCGCTTAGCCAGACATTTTAAACTTTGAACTCTGCTAAAAGGGTAAATGTTTCACACAGCACAGCCTCTCCCTTCTTCCTCTTTTCCTCAAGCTACACAGAGTTTTGTCAAGAAACGGACTAATTAATGTCCTGGATGGAACAATTTCAGCAATAAATAGTATTCCTGGAAAGCTTGGGTTAGAATAACTCTGATTAGTATCTTACTTCTTATTAAAAACAACAACAACAACCCAAAGTTTCTACTCCAAGAGTAGCCAACACAGGCCACACTAACACGATACAGTCAGCTCCATGGGTGGGTGGGTGGGTGATCAGAGGCATCCATTAAATTCTGAGCCAGCCCCACTGCTGTCATGTGATGGCATCAAGGCAGGGCTGAGGGTGTGTCAATGGAATCACCACTATGTTAAAGTCTTGTTGGGCAGTGGCTGGGGGTCAGGATTGCATCCTAAACCTTGCCCTGCATGGATATTCCAGTCAAAATTTTCAGCCCCATTTTTCTTACTTTTCACATTTTAAATCTTTAATGAGCTTGCTTACCCAACTGAGAAAATCTGTAAGTCAAGTAAGTATTTTTCAGATGTAAAGGTAAAGGGTAAAGGGACCCCTGACCATTAGATCCAGTCATGGCCGACTCTAGGGTTGCAGCGCTCATATTGCTTTATTGGCTGAGGGAGCCAATGGGTCACGTGGCCAGCATGACTAAGCCGCTTCTGGCGAACCAGAGCAGCACACGGAAATGCCGTTTACCTTCCCGCCGGAGCGGTACCTATTTATCTACTTGCACTTTGATGTGCTTTCAAACTGCTAGGTTGCCAGGAGCAGGGACCAAGCAATGGGAGCTCACCCTGTTGCAGGGATTCGAACCGCCGACCTTCTGATCAGCAAGTCCTAGGCTCTGTGGTTTAACCCACAGCACCACCCGCATCCCTCTTTTTTTTCAGATGTATACGCAGCTATTTATTTAATGAATTTCTACCTGGCCTTTTTGAGAAAGCTTCTCAACAAAGAAGCTTACAACAACATTTAAAGCCACAACAATATTAGAATATATAGTAATAAAATACTAATTCCATTACTACTCTAATACAAAAACCAGCAGCCAGCATAAAGCAATATAAACCTTCAGATGGCAATTGACTTAGAATCTCAGTTGATAATATTTGTACATTATAATGGACAATAATGGCAAATTCTGTAATAATAATAATAATAATAATAATAATAATAATAATTTATTATTTGTACCCCGCCCATCTGGCTAGGTTTCCCCAGACACTCTGGGCGGCTTCCATAGAAGCCAAATATACACTAAAATATCACAGATTAAAAACTTCCCTGAACAGGGCTGCCTTAAGATGTCTTCTGAATGTCAGGTAGTTATTTATCGCTTGGACATCTGATGGGAGGACGTTCCACAGGGCGGGTGCCACTACCGAGAAGGCCCTGCCTGGTTCCCTGTAGCTTTGCTTCTTGCAATGAGGGAACCGCCAGAAGGCCCTCGGCGCTGGACCTCAGCGTCCGGGCAGAACGATGGGGGTGGAGACGCTCCTTCAGGTATACTGGGCCGAGGTCGTTTAGGGCTTTAAAGGTCAACACCAGCACTTTGAATTGTGCTCGGAAACGTACTGGGAGCCAATGTAGGTCTTTCAAGACCGGTGTTATGTGGTCTCGGCAGCCGCCCCCAGTCACCAGTCTAGCTGCCACATTCTGGATTAGTTGTAGTTTCCGAATCACCTTCAAAGGTAGCCCCACGTACAGCGCATTGCAGTAGTCCAAGCGGGAGATAACTAGAGCATGCACCACTCTGGCGACACAATCAGCGGGCAGGTAGGGTCTCAGCCTGCGTACCAGGTGGAGTTGGTAGACAGCTGCCCTGGATACAGAATTGACCTGTGTCTCCATGGACAGCTGTGAGTCCAAAATGACTCCCAGGCTGCGCACCTGGTCCTTCAGGGGCACAGTTACCCTATTCAGGACCAGGGAGTCCTCCACACCAGCCCGCCCCTGTCCCCCAAAAACAGTACTTCTGTCTTGTCAGGATTCAACTTCAATCCATTAGCCGCCATCCATCCCCCAACCGCCTCCAGGCACTCACACAGGACCTTCACCGCCTTCACTGGTTCTGATTTGAAAGAGAGGTAGAGCTGGGTATCATCTGCATATTGATGGACACCCAGTCCAAACCCCCTGATGATCTCTCC